TAGGAACAGCAAGAGAGAATGGGGTTGTTTAGCCACACAGATCTACTTTGAAAGATAGTACATCAAAATTTCTTATAGTCAAAGTGTATGTGGGAAAAATATATCTATAAATGTTCTGTATAAATGCATACATACAAATACACAGTCATATATTAGAGGAGGAGACAAGCGATTAAACCTTACAGCGTAAACTATTGGGGCTAATTTTAGACATTTTTGAGGAGGTGTAATGGGTTACAGGATTTTTAAAGTAGATGTTGTGGAGATTTGAAGTACTGGTATTGCATCTCTACTTCACTAGTAAGCACTGTTAGTGGGGTGTTGCAGCCGTAACTATGCCCTGAGCTGGGTGGAAGAGGTGTTTGAAATACCTACCTTTAAGCAATAACAAGGGCATTAGACAGTTGTAGTGTTTTACATGAGCTAAAATAGCCAGTTCATTATAATAAAAGCATTCATAGTTATAGTGGAAAGGGAAATGTATTCCTTAGCTTGAAAGGAAAAATGTTCTTTGTTTAATATTTCACATGTTATATCATAAGTTCAGACAACATTGCAATACTCTTCTTGCTTTTCTTAGACCTCCTCAGTATAAGACCATTACTCTGGATAGAGGACCAGATGGCCTAGGCTTTAGTATTGTGGGTGGTTATGGCAGTCCCCATGGAGACTTACCCATATATGTGAAGACAGTGTTTGCAAAGGTAAGTGTAAATTTGTTCAGTCAATCCATTTATTAGTTAGTTCACAGCAGCTACTGTCTTAAATCATGGCCTGAGTTTGAAGCCAAGGGATTGTTACTGTTTCTCACAGCTTTTCTGCCTTAGTGCAAGTGCTGGTCAAAATGTGCTTGCAGCATTTGAAGGCTATAGTCTTAGGAAAATTCAGAATTTCCAAATGCATGTGACTCTGCATATGGCACAGTATTCTTCAACTCTCAAAACAAATTGTGCACATACCTAGAAAAACAGCCCCATTGCCTTATGTTTAGAGTGTATTTTCTTCAGGTAGTAGAAGGGACTGTTTCATTTATTTTGACTGAGAGTCTGAAAGGTAGACCAAGATAAAATAATTGAACTCAGTCTGGACCTTTGGAGAAGTTCAGGTACTGACGTGGATTTGATAGTTTGGACTGCCCTAGGAAACAGCCCTGAGTCAAAAAAAAATGGAATCAAGGATCCCAAACTTTGATGATAAATCAAAGTACAGAGCTGGGTTTTGATTACTGAATTTCTTCTATCAGTTCATGAAAACTTCTTCAGGTCTTGAAAATCTTACTTCTATGATAGTAGAGTTTAAATGTTATACTAGCTGGACGAACAAGGTTAAAGGAATATAAAAATCCTGTAGATCTGATTTCTAGATGTTGTGAAACTTAGGACAGGGCATACTGTAGCACTAGCAGGCTGTACTACAATTGACTGTAGTAGAATCATTGAAAATCAAAAAAGTTTTAAGGGGTTTTGTGCACTGAACCCATCTTATTCAGACCATAAGGACAGTGTGGCAGGGAGAAAAAGAAATGCATGAGTCTGCAGTTACATGTTGTATCGTTTCAGGGTGCAGCAGCAGAAGACGGACGCCTGAAGAGAGGAGATCAAATCATTGCTGTGAATGGGCAGAGTTTAGAAGGGGTGACCCATGAGGAAGCGGTTGCTATTCTGAAAAGGACAAAAGGAACAGTCACTTTGACTGTTTTGTCATGAACTGGCTGCCCAGAGGGGTAGGGTCAATAAGGCTATATTATTTACATTCCGCACAGCAAAGAGAATGGAAATGTTTATATAGCCTTCTTGCCCTTCCAGCTTCACAGGACTGTGTTACAACGCTGAAGAAAAATAACATTTAACCGTATTTTTGTATATAATAGAAGTATTTCTCTCACTGTTAAACCACTGGGATGGAGTTATGTCAACTGCAGAAAAACATGGATATTTTTCCTAGTAGTATTATAAAGAATGCTTGTAAGCCCCGCCCCCCCAATGGAATGTTTGCATTAATAACCACACAACAAAACTGGAATGTTTTGCTAAGAGGCTTTGGATATTTGGAATATGTTGGAAAAATTACAAAAGTCACCAAGTCAACAAGGGGATGGCATGAGCAGCAGTAGTCAGAAAACAGAAACAAGGTTATTGAAGAAAGAAAGTATTCACAAAATATGGAATTTGGGGAAAAGAAGGAAAAGTATGTAATCTGGAGGCAGATGATTAATGGACTTAGGTGGTTATTTATGTTATTTCACAATGCTTAAGTAGAAGGAGCTGGGAGGGTGACTTGGGTGGGGTTTTTTTGCTTGTCTGTTCGTGTGTTTAAATTCCTAAGTCATGGTGTATCCAAAAAAAAGAAAACTCTGTTATAGTTTGGCTTAGGTTTGAGGGTTTGGATTGTTTTGAGACTGGGGGGTGCGTGTGTTTGTTTTGAAAGGAGAGGACTTGTGCTCAGGGCTGAAAAATCCGTTTGCTAGTGGAAACTACTGGTGAATGAGAGAGCCCAGCAACTGCAGTATTAGAAGAACTAGACTTTTCTTTTATAACAGTAGTGTTTTCTAGCCTATATGGGTGTGAAAGTAACCTTCCCAATATGAAATGTGTGTAAGTGAAGGTTGTCCTCTTCCAACATGCAAGATTAACTACAGACTCAGTGCAGACATTTCTGCGAGCTGCTTGAATCAGAGCCACGAACAAACCGCTCAGGGCAGTTGGTTAAGCCAAGGTGGAAGAAGTTGATGTTACAGTGTTGCTGCCATTATCAGTAGCAGCAAAGGTAGAGTCCTCCTTGGACTGAGGAGGCCTAAAACTAGGAGTTGAAGGAGCGTAAAAGGCTGAAAATCCCTCACAGTGTAGGAGGGTAGTAAGACCGTAGTGAAGGTCTTTCTGCATCAGCATTAAGCAGAAGAGGAGGCTTGAGGGTCACAAATATTGTTTTGGAGTTATTAATTTTAGAGGCACAAATACAAGGCAGTGTCTAGTAAGTACAATGCAACCATGGGGCTGTTCTTTGGGCAACAGTGTGGTCAATAAATTTATCAACATCCTCAGTTTCCTAAGTTGGGACCCTCACTAAAACTTTATCCAAAAACCATGCTCCCTGAAATTCTTAGCTGATTGTAGCCTGCCTTTGACTCTTCTCCTTCAAACTGGATCTTAGGAATCTGGCAGATAAAGCACACTTTGCCTGTGATTTACCTTCCTGCAAAAAAATTTCACCAAGTCTTTTGAGGGATAAAGATACCTAGCTAATTAGCAGCAAAACCCTCTGTGTTAATTAGCAAAAGAAATTGTAGCAAGAAGGACACCATGTCAGTTGTCATTTAAGAGAAATCTGAACTTAAAATGCAGGCAATGGTTAGGCCATTATTAGGGGAAGATAAAAAAGACTAGCATTTGTTTTAGTGGGACACAAAAACAGCATTAGGAATGTCTGTGAAATATTATTAACAAATGGGTAGCTAGGTCTAAGTGAATTAACTAAAAAACCTACCCTCTTTATCTCTTTAACTATTCTAGAAGTTACTCTGTGATAGGCTAAGATGAAAGAAAACAGATGGTACCATTACTGGATGCTGTTGTTATTGAATTGCTCTTCTATACTTACTCCTTGGTTAGAGTGAGAAATGCCTACATTAGGGTGTGTAAAGTCACTTTAAATAGTATCTATATTTGTAACAGAAGTAGTGTACAGATATTTTGTTACTGCTGTTGTGTCTAAATGGAGGATTTAAGTGAATAAATTCTAAACTGTCATGATGAAGAAATAAAGTTGCAGTTGTGTTCTTGGTTGCTTTACAATGGCATGCTTGCATTGTTCATTCTGTTGTGAAAGATTAATTAAAAAAAATTAATAACAAAAAAAATTAGCATTACTGTTTATGTGAACCTTAAAGCATCTGCTATAAATGGCTTTATCTGAATTTTAAGATTTTATCTTCACTTGCAAACTCTTAGGAAATCCATGAGACCAAATACCAAAACCATCTAGGAATTAATATGAAGATGCCGTGCTTTTTTGAAACAGACAGCATTAATCATTGTTCAGTCTGCTTAAAAAGTATTCCTTTAGGCATGGGACTTGTCATGGAGGATAAAACAGTGAGCTGTGTGCCGGGGACTTTGCTTTTAGCTGTGACCAACACTGCTGCTTCAGAGAATAGGATCTCCCCAAGCCCCATGCTGGGAAAGCTGTTGCATGACAACTGCTTAGTGACTGCCATGCGCTGGACCACGAGGTGTAATAAACTTCACAGGCTTAAGATGTTTGTTTTTCTTTATTATTTGGTATTCAACACAACTTTCATATCACAGGGGTTAGTCCTGCAAGGTGGTAGGTATTATGGCCCCAGTTCTACCAAGTCTTCCTTTTTTCGTTACTTTTTTTCCATGTGACTGTGTTAACTACGGGACTGGACAGGGTTGGAGCTGAAGGTCTTGGTATCTTAAAGGCTCCAGCCCATTGTTCAGATACCCAGTCCTTTCTTTTAACTCTGCTTACCTCTCACCTTTTCAATGCTAGTAGTCTTCGAGTGGTATTAATGAAAGAGACTGTTACTTTTTGTAAGCGTGGGTCTGGACAAAGGACAGCTGGCTCATGGGAATGCACATATTTCATTCCTTGGCAGTGAGCAGGTATCATTGGCGTGGCTGCCTTCCAGTTCATTCCTCTGTTGGATTTTATTTCTGGGTTAGCTTTATGGAAGCAATGGTATTGGTAATTCTCAGTTGGGAGAGTGGGTGGAATTTAGTAGCCATTGAGGATCCCCTTCCCTTCACTCTATCCAGCCTCTTTTTAAAAGAAAAAAAGAAGCTGTATATTCTGTAGATCTAGGCATGGACTTGCCTTAAAACAAAACAAAACAAAACAAACCTAAAAGAAGAAAAAAGTTGGCATCTTTGTTTAAGTGTCAAAAAGGGGTTTTGTTTTACTGACAGACTTGCAAGTAATGTGGAGGAACTTAGTACTTTTAATAGTGTTTTGCAAAGAAAGCCTTATCTCAGAGTGAAAGTGCCGTTGGAAAGAGGCTGGTAGTGGTTTCTCACACACACCTTTTCTTTGCAGCATATCAAATATTCATATGTAGGGAGCACTTCCGTCTTAGACACCAATTGAAACTACTAAGAATAGATAAAAATTTTCACTTCCTTTACAAATGCTATTAAAACAGTGAACACTGTTGTCCTTAGCACATTCAGCACCTGTAGTGTATATACAAGCTGTTTCTACTTCTTTCTGAAATGAAGATTGTGCATCTTCCTCAACAGCTGTGTAGATCTTGATTTTAGTGCATTGTAGCTCATAGCCACTGTTGCAGGGTTATGTGTTAGCTTGTGAAGTTGTGCCACCGATATTCGGGAAAACGCTAACAGTGTCAGGTTGGACTGATCCATTTCAAACACTTTAGAACAGTATACCTACTCGTGGAAGATGATGCCTAAGCAGATTGAGGTTCCTGACTTTTTGACGTATGTTTTCATTCTCCTGTGGTAAAATCTTCCACAGTATTATTGAACTTTCTACTCCCAATGAAAATGGTCATGTGAAATGGGCAGAAGAAAATAGGTGTTGCTTCTCGTATTTCAGTAGAAAGGAGAATAATTTCTGATAAACTACTAATCCTGAAAGTTGCATACATCTCAGTTGAAGATAACAGAATTATCCAAACTGGATTATTAATTTTTAACTCAAGATTTTTTTGTTGAGTTGCGGCAGCAAATCATTCTTGGAAAGTGAACCAAGCAGGCTTTCGCATAGTCTTTCTCATCAAACGACTTTCTGACCAGTCCACTTTTTTTGATCCTCAGATAGGTAGTTTAAATACATAACTTTCTTTTTTCATTACATAAATGGAGTGTTTGAATTGCATACAGTAAATCTTATCTGTGTTCTTAGCTGAGAGTACTACACTGGATATTTTAAGTGCTTGCAGTTAGATGTCCCGTTTACCCATAGGTAGACAAATGAAAGGTTTTTGTCTGAGATGGGACGCTTCAAAGTTGTCAGCACTTGTTAATGTTTTCTGATATTTCAGCCTTTGACACTTTATTAGTTAAGATTAGGCTTTGTTAAGCGTAGTTCAGTCTAGTTAAGAGTACACTTTGACTGAGCAAGGTAGGCATTATAGCTGAAAGGGAGTGAATGTTCTTCATGAGTATTTCTATGGGATGTAGGATACCTTTTTGAGACTCCAAGCATGGGTCAACAACAGAGCGTCACAGTTTGGTGTGTTTTCATTGCGTTTATTTGTGCTCCTCGCTGTTCATAGCCACAGAAGAGTGCATGATACCAGGACTGGGAGGACTGAGACCCCAGGGTATGTTTTCAGGATGCTTTATCAGGTTTCTACTACTGCACACAAGAGGAAGATAAGGGAGCCTGGGTTTTTTGTTGAGGACCTCACACAAGCACTTAGGCTGAGGCACATTAAAACCCTTTGGAGGTTGTAATGTCCAAGTACCTTCTCATCACAAGGATGCCATAGCCACTGCATCCGACACGTCAGAGTTTCACAGTATTGGGGATTTTACAAAAAGCACTGGGAGCAGCACCTTGGCTTGTTAGTAGGAAGTGAGTTATTCTCTAGTTTGGGAGAATCTTTGACTGAAACTGTAAAAGACACACACATTTTGTTTTGGCTTGAAAAAATTTATTCATTACTCAGTGTAAAATGTGAATATGTCTGATGGGAGTAGAAATGTCAATGTTGCAGATAAATTAGATAAGTATCAATATAATCCTAATGGTTAAAGCAGCAAATGCTCACTGGAAAGTCCTGTTTGTGAAAGGAACCACTGAGGACAGATGAGAATAAAGATTGTCATATGGTGAAATCATTAACCTTTGTTACTGTCACCAAGACCAGAAGATGGATAGAAGTGATAGCGTTCATATTTTTGTCATGCTTTTTTAAAAGTAAGTTCACTCCAACTCTTTTTCCCAGATTTTATACTTTTTCCCAAGTGGTAAAGTGCTTGAA